ATATATATATATATAATAAAGTAAGGATAATTGTTTCTTATATTGAAACGTGAGTGTTAATCAATAATTATATTACTTGTAGGTATGTATAAATTGATGCATTTTATGAGCTGTTATGGGTTAGTTGAAGTTGTTTGGTTCTTGGTATTGATTAACTTAGATTCAATTGTGGAGATGTTATTTTTATAATTTGTGAGTGATGAGTAATGTATATTGTTGAGATTGTGCATATGTTGATTGTGGCAGAAAGTATATGATTACAAAGTAATGAAAGTATGATCCAAGTTGTAAATCAAGTTCCATCTCTGTAGGATCTCTGTAGGATCTCTTGGTGAGATCCTTAGTGTAGAATGATTGCATGGTAGCTCAGTCTTGGGGGTTTTGCTGACGCTCCAATGGTCTTTCATTCTCAAGTAGAGAGGATTGATCCATGTGGTGAGGAGTAGCAGGAGGTCTTAGTCTTGGAGGCTTCCAGTATGCTCCAGGGCGCGGAACGGATTAACCTCGTGAGTGTGGTAGGGTGGAACCCATTGGCAACGGCTTTGCAAAGCAGTAGAGGCCACCACGAGTGCATAATTCGCCATAGCTCGACAATCATTCTGGTCCGGACGTGTCGGTCTATAAAGCAATGAGTCTTGTGATGTCAATGTACCATGTTTGAGTGACTTTTACATGTTGTGTGTGATTGAATAACATGATTTTTGTATCTAGCTCACCCTTGCTTATTTGTATTGCTTGCTTATGTTTTTTCTTGCGATGATCATCCATTTGGATGGGTGCAGATGGCAAGGAGGTTCCTTTGGAGACAGCTTTGGAAGTCGAGGACAATGCTGCTGTCTAGTCTCCTAGGATGTTATTGGTTGATCTTGTAGTATGAAATATTATTTCCCTTTTAGCTTATATTTTAGATATCTTTGGGGTTTAAGCTTATATTCTGAAGTACTTTGAGGATGACTATAATTATATTTACTCTCAACTGCTTTCCTATATTATGCATGTGGACGTCTTTATTATATATGCTTTCTATATAATTGGGATGTCACAATATGTAATGCCAGAGTCCACATTTTTTGTTGAGTTTTTTTTTTTCTAAGCATTAAAAATATACTAATATTGATGAATTAAATTAAATTTCTTTGTGATATATTTTAAAACATTAAATCAATGTACATATTTTAAATCAGCGTATTTTAAGAACTCAATAGAAGAACACAAAAAAATTCAGAAAATTCCAGAGAGAAAATCTACCATATCTGACATAATAGCGCATAAATGATTTACCAATCTCAAATGTAACAGAACCACACAGCACTCCTCTCTGCTATAGCTAACTCTCTGAATAGAAAATATTAGGGCCTGCGGTGATATATGTCTAGAAAGCCCTATTCCACTTAGAAGGTGAATTCCTTCCAAGTTACTTATCCTCATTGTTCTAGTTGTAGCACTCTAAGTAAAGTTCCTTCATGTTAAACTTTCAAAACTAGGTTCAATTAACCAAGCCTGATATTCATGTTGATAGAACCAAATATTAAGAAATATCACATGCCTTTTCATTTCAGACAAGGAGATAGTTACAAGTCAAAGGTTTCCTACCTCTTCTTTATTTGGCTCTGCATTACAATTCAATCACTCTATTTGGCTCAGTGCTTCCATAGATTTTATTTTATTTTTTTGAAAGTGAATTTCTATCATCTACAAAAACTTACAGTTATATATTGCTTAAAGAAAAACTTGGATTTAAGCGTTTCAATAGAGTGATTGAATGCTATGCTTCACAATTAGCTGGACAAGCAATGACATCTTTTGACACTGATAGGAATTCAGTAGCTAAAGCATGTTATAAACAATTGGCACCTCTTCTACTTTCGATATCAGGAATGGAATGCTTGCAGTCACAGATCCTAAATCTGCAGTAAGCTAGGCTTTTTCTAAGCACCAACCAGAAAAGAAAGGAATTATAGAACAAAATCAACAAACGGTTTAATAAAAAAAAAGTATCAAAATTCGACCCTATAAGCACAACTGATATCTCTCACCTGATGTTTGAGTAGCACAATGGTGGGGGAGGGTAGGTGGTTAGATTCCCACATCTGCATTTCCCTTCGCCATAAGATACACAAGACATCCTTAGAGCTAAATAAAAAGGCATCAAAAGTGAATTGCTATAAAGTAAATATACATTTCCTGAAAACCTTACAGCTAAAGATGGGCATGAAGCCAAGATTTTAACTAATAATATTCGTGGTCATGTCATAAGTTCGGTACAAAAGTACCAAACCAAACAATAAGATTCCTAACCTTAGAACAACAGGAGATTTAAAGAACATTGTACTACAAATACTTCAAGTAGGAGCCTTGTCAAGAAATAAAACAACACACCCAGTGCTATTGACACAGGAAGAGCAGGCAAAGCCTTCTGATATAAAGCCAAAAGGATCAAAGTTATGCCAAGACCCGCAATGATAGCAAGATAACATGCATATACCGTCATAAAATCATACATTGCCGCCCTGCCAACCAAAACACTGTAGAAGATAAAATCTCCCAGCCCTAACTTGATTGAACCAGAAGAACCCAATCCAATTCCTTCTAGCATCAAATTCTCACTTGGCACAGCATCTTCCCCCCTACCGTGCTGGACATTCATTCCACGATCAATCAAGGGCGCAGAAAGGTCTGAATCAGTCTCATGAACGCGCACTGGTTCCTCTTCTGCATTCACCAAACTTATGCAACCATAAGAGCCACCAGAACTATTAGCTATTAGATTTGCATTTCTAGAGGCATTCTCCATAACCATGTTTAAGTTATTGCTGGGGCTTCCGTCAGAACCGGAGGGAAATTCAACACTGGATCCATGACCCAATGCTGAGTTGGAATCAGTTTGAAGATATGAATTATCAACCCTCCTTTCTCTCCATAACCGCCTCCTCTGCACAAGATCCCTAGGACTCAAATTACCATGGTTCACTGGTCTAGCCTCATACACCAATGCGGGAATTTCCTCATCCCTTGATATTGCAAGCTCCACCAAAAGCCTCAACGGCCCAATTGGTAACAAAACTGCAGCAACATCATACAGCGCCATAGCAACAAGCAAGGCCCAGGTGGTCCACTCAGGCAACATAGTAAACGAATAAGCAATCAATATTCCAATAATAACCAAATACCCCTGCGTCACAAAAATTGCCATTTTTGACATAAACACGGTCAAAACACCCACAACGGCGAAATTACATAGCAAGAGGAAAAACGTAATGCAATCAACGGGGGTGTTAAACTGTTGGATCAAGAACAGAGAGACTTCGCCGCCGAGGAACCCCAGCACGATGAAAGTGGAGAAAGCCATATAGAGTTTTAAAAACCTGGTGCATCGGAAGTAAAAGAGGAGAACCAGGATGAAGGTTGCGAAGGTGACGAGGACGACGAAAGCCAGAGAGTTCAAAAGGGCACCAAGGAATTTGTCCCAGGTGGAGTCCGAGGTTGTCTCGGTATAGGCCATGGCGACCATGCTCATCGATGCGTCGAAGAGAGAAGAATCGGTGTTCAGAATTGACACCAATATAACGACCAAGAACATGCATATTGAAACGGGTGCGATGATTCTCACGATTTCTTCACCCAGAGAATCGATGATGCTTGAACAGGGTCTCTGGGTTTGTGTTTGTGCCATTGCAAGATTGCAGAGGAGAAAGAAAGACAGATAGTCACACTGACTCAGATCGAAACTGGTGACTGGGAAGTACTGCGGTTGGCTGGCTGGATTCACTTCTCTCGTGGGCCGGGCCTAAACATCACAAAAAACATATTTCTTTCTTTCGTCCCCACAATTTCCATATGCACCTCCTTCAGTTTCAAATTTTCAAATTTATCATTGTGGTATTAAATAGCAGTGTAGGATATTCATTGCATTGGTATTGTATTGTTGTACCTTTTCGCGTTTGGACACACTTTCATGGTTGTGGTGTATTCGGTGGTATTGGTAGACGGGTAGGCTCCATTGGATAGTTGGATTTATGGTGAAGAGAAGATAATATACGAGGGTAAGATTTTCTTTCATTTTGTAGTTTTTTTTTTCTTCCACTTTTCGAATTTTAATTCAAATTTCCGATTTAGTAATTTAAAAACCTTCTGGATTTGGAACGTTAAATGAAAAAAAAATTGTGATATTTAGATTGTTCAATCTAAAATTGAAAATATCATTTTAGAGCGCATTTGCATGTTAAATTTGGCTTTCATAATGCATAATTTGAACTATGATATTGAATTTCAAATTATGCAATTTAGAATATTAATTTGATTTTAGATTGTACATAAATTAAATTTGATTTATGAGTTGTGTAGTTTAAATGTGTAAATTATTCGTTTTTTATAAATCTATCTTACATCGTATAATTACAACACAATGTCAATTATTACATAACTATGCGATCTTTTTTACAGTTATTAAAAAATGATTGTTAAATATAGAAATAAAATCCCAAATTTAGAGTAAAACATAAAACGATGTTGATAAGTTATCTGACATGGATAAGTTTGATAGTGTATAAACTTTGTAGCAAAGATGAATTGATTGAAAGATATTTTGTTTTACTTTTCACATTAAATGAGGTAAGCAAAATTTTAAAGACATAAAAAGACTAGCTTCAATTTCTCTCAATCTTAAAAATAAAGAAACACAAGGATTTTGTAAGTAAAAATAATAACATAAATTCAAATATCACAATAACACCGTAACTCTTTATCTATATTGAGAGAGGTTACCTATTATATTAGCTATAACTTTGCATATTAAAACAATTCATATATTTATAAATAAAAGGAAGTACTTTTCAAAATAAAAATACATTCTATTACAAGTCATTTATGGATTTGGAATTGTATTTTAGATTGTACAAACAAAAATGTATTGCAAATGGTCTTGATCAAGGAAGTAAGGAACAATTGTGACACTATATTGGTCATATATAAGGAGAAGAGAAGAAGATAGGGTGTGTGTGTGTGTATATATATATATATATATATATATATATATATATATATATATGTCATTAAGGGCAATATGGTCTTTCACCATCATATGATGTGTATATGGAAATTATGGGAGTGCAAAAAAAATGGTTCACCAAAAACGGGCTTAGGCCCGTTTACTAATGAAGCCAGTAGAAAAACAGAGTCTCACGTCCTTAATAAGCTCTACTTAAACCCATTTCCCGTTCTCATATATCTATTGATATCTCGCTAGGGTTTTAGAAAAAGTCTCAGAAGTGTACACAGGTAATACGATTATGCAATCTTCTTCTTTAACCATGGTTTTCTTCGTTTTTTCTTTCATTTCGCTTGTCATCTTTTATCCTTCAGAATCAATTTATCTGTTTATTTGTTAGTGTTGATCAATATATTGCTTGGAATGGTATAATACGTGTTTTTCTTTTCCGTTTTCGATCGGCGAGCATGCTTTCATCGGTAATCGTTTGATCTCCTGTTGAGATCAGAAAGTTTGATGGTTGGACTTGTTTTAGTTTTGTTGGTTGCCTTTAGGGATCTATCTTCTTGTTTGGTACTAAAACAAAAAAAATCATTTAAGTTTTCATATAGTTTACTTTTATTTCCTCTAGGTTTTTTGACGATGATTTTCTGATGCTTGAGTTTTTGACTAGTTTTTGACTGTGATTTTGAGTTACATGCTGTACTCAGAGTGGTTGACGTTTATTGGTTCCTTTACAGCAATGGCTTTCTTTGGTAGACTTGGGAATTTGTTAAGACAGACTGCTAGCAGACAGGTTAGTTCAGAGTTGCGGTCGTCCCCTTCCTTATTCCAGGCCATACGCTGTCTGTCTTCTGCTCCAAGCTCCAAGCTGTTTATAGGAGGTGCGTACCCTTGCTTGAGTACATGCGTTTTATGTTTGTCCTTCTGAGTTTTGGTTGAAGTGATTATTTGAGTATATGCAACCATTGTTTGTCTCTTTCTGTTGCAGGTGTTTCGTTTTCCACCGATGAGCAAAGCTTGAGGGAAGCTTTTTCAAAATATGGTGAAGTTGTTGATGGTAAATAGCTGCGTTCCGTGCTTTCTTTAGTATTTTTTTCGTAATAATTATTCAGTTGGGTGGAGTTGATGAAATTCTGTTGACAGCGTTCATGTAAATAATTTTTTTACTCAGTAAAAGTTTCTCTTGAATGTCATGCTTCTTGTAGCAAGGATAATTATGGATCGTGAAACTGGAAGATCCAGGGGGTTTGGATTTGTTACGTACACGTCTGTTGAGGAGGCATCGAGTGCTATTCAGGCCTTGGATGGTCAGGTAACACAGCCTACTCGTTCATGCTGTTATGATATTGTGAGTAGCGTGGTTTATAATGGTTGGTTGCAAAATGATCACGGGCTGAAGCTGCACAAGTAACCCGTGCAATTCTTGGGAGTGTGCATATTGTGTGTGAAATGCTGATTTTTGTTTACTCGGACTTTCTTTGTGCTTGGCGAGTTTTTAAATTGTGATCATGGTGACCATTATGTGGCCAGAGGATGGGGTCTTAGGACACAAGGTTGTCACAGCCACATCAGGTGATGCAGTCCCATATTCTATTTCTTGTTTTATTAAATGTTGTTTTAAGCGAAGATAATGGCCCTATTTTAGCATACATTTGGGCGATATCTGTGAGAACTGTCATCACTGAAGCTATCTGGGATCATTTCACTGTGCCCTCACTTGTTTATTCTTTGTTCTTACAAGCAAGCATTGCTGTCAATAATAGCACATCAGTGGCTATTGCTGCTGTGATACTACACATCTTGCTGTAGTGGTGTACAATTGAGTTGGGAAAAAACCTATGTTGACCAGGTGATTGCTGTTTAGGCTGTTCAATTTTGGATTCCCCCCACCCACCCACCACACACACCTTTAATTCAGAACTTCAGCCCCGTTTTCTCAGTCACTTGAAAACATTCTGTTTTGAAGTAGCAGCCACTCCTTTTCTTTTTTACAAATGCCCACCCATGGCTGACATTGTTTCCAGCATTTTTGGCCCACTCTGACAGGTTTCAGTCATTCCCAACACATGCAACTATTTTCTGGTGAACCTGTCACTTTTTGCCATGGACTGTGACCTTTGCTTCCTTGCTGTAATCTGTTTTTTAATGTCTCTGAATCATATATACCTATGTTTTAACCCTTATTCTTTTGTCTATTTTCTAGATTGACTGCTCTGTTCCTAAATCTGAGATTGAGATATGCTTACCGTGTACTCCATTATTATGCTTAATAATTAGAAGATCTTTAGGATGGGAAGCCGCTATCCAGGCTGTTATTAGTTTTCCTTTTGCTTGATAGGCTTAAGCAATTACAAGATTTATTGGTTTTACATTTAAGTTTCAGGCACTAAAACAGGTTTGCCTAGGTGTATTTTATCAGGATGAGCTTTCAATAACTTATCTGTGATTTATGTGAATGTAATACTTTCCTGGTGATGATGCTTATCAGCTTGTGGTTTTATATTTTCTGTACTTTGTTAAGCATTTTGTCGTTTCAATGATGCTTTTTATGATTAATAAGATATCGTTTGTTTCATGATGCCGCATCGTTTCTGTATATCATTTTCAGGACCTTCATGGTCGCCAGATTAGGGTAAATTATGCTAATGAAAGATCACGAGGTGGTGGCTATGGAGGTGGATATGGTGGTGGTTTTGGCGCTGGAGGTGGTGGTGGCTATGGAGGAGGTGCATATGGTGGTGGTGGCTATGGTGGAAATGTTGCTGGTGGTTATGGTGGTGGCGGCTATGGTGGAAATTCTGGAGGTGGTTATGGCGGTGGTAGCTATGGTGGAAATGCTGGTGGTGGCAGCTATGGTGCTGGTGGCTATGGATCAGGTGGCAATTTTGGGGACAGTGGCTCTGGCAATAACTATCCTGCTGACAGCGGTGCTGGTGGCAGCTACAGTGGGAATTTTGGTGATGCTGGTGGAATAGGAAATCATGGAAGCTCTGCTGGTTTTGGCAGTAGTGGATATGATGGAAGTGCTGTGGATGGTAGCGGGGCAAGTACTGGAACCAGCTTTGCTGATGGAAGTGGAGGATTAGGCAGTGGTCAATTTGATAGCAAAGCAAGCAGCAATGGAGATGAGGATTTTGGAGATTACAGGGATGACGCTGACGATACTGATAATTTTGCCAAAAGGGCTTGATGGAATTTTATGGTTGGTAGTTTTCAATTCGAATTCTGTATCCCGCATGTTCCTAAATCTCTTTGGAATATCACAACCTTATGTGCATTTTTCAGGATTATGGCACAGCTGGACATGGCTGGGAAGGATGTAATGTAGGATAATTTTCAGCTTGTTTCTTCCCCTATTTTCGTAAAGATTCAGCTATCTCATTTTTGTTGCTTACATTGAGGTGATTTTATTATTAACCAAAACGATATCCTCATACAACATGTAAATCTATGAATTGTCGCTAGTTGCAACAATAATCAAAGACTTGTGTGAGAATTTTATGATCAGTTTATTCATTTCAAGTGATGACTTTGTTCTGCACAACATATTGGTTTTCACCGTCACATTCCAAATATTGTGCCCCCCTAAGCTCCTTTGGTGGCGCAGGAGAGCTTTTTGTTAGAATGCAATAGATTTAACTTATTCGCAGTTGTTATTTTATGATTTATTTTGTTTTTATTTACATATTAAAGACCTCATGGGTTAGCAATTGCTTAAATTAAGGTGTTGTGTGAACGATTGGCATTGTTTTAACATAATGTCAGGTTTGATGTAATCCAATTTCGTATTTTCCAGTTTAGATTGGATTAGTTATTTTAGTTCTTTAGTTTTATATAGTTATCTATTTTTCGCAAATATGCAATTTCAGTATACCTGACTTTTTAATCTTTGTTTTTATTTGTTTCGATTTTAATTTTGAATTTTAATGATTTTTTTTAAATGTCAAAATAAAATTAATTTTGTAATGAATTATTCTGTTTATTATATAAACCTATCATATATTGAAAAATATTAATTGTAGGTTTAATTTGATTTAAATTATGTGAAAGTGTTTTTTCATTTTATGTATAAACCTAAATTTTCAATTGAATTAAACTGATTTTTTTTCCAGTGACTTCATTTTATATTGCTAGCCTATCTCAGGGAAATTGAGAGTTGAATCTGAACTTATTTATTTTTGGTTTAATAGGTTCGGAGGTCCCTATATTTACGGGTTCGTTTCACTTGGGTCCTTCAATTTTAAAAGTGATCAATTAGGTCCCTAATTTAACAAAATTAAGTCAATAATACCCTTTCCGTTAAATGCAAGGGAATCTGAATGCAAATTAAAAATTGCAGAAATTGCCACGTATTAAGCTCAAACTCTGTCACTGCAAATAAAATGATGCCTCAGCATGCCACCAGTTTAATTTGCATTCAGATTCCCTTGCATTTAACAGAAAGAATATTATTGACTCAATTTTGTTAAATTAGGGACCTAATTGATCACTTCTAAAATTGGAGGACCTAAGTGAAATGAACCCGCAAATATAGGGACCTCCGAACCTATTAAACCTTTATTTTTCTAGTATTTCTATACTCGTTTTGTTTGGATTTGAATATTGAATGAGAACTCTAAATCTAATCAAGTATAAAAATAATAATATTAATTTTGGTCGATCGATTTTAACGTTTATATTATTTACGACTTGTGATTTAAAAAACGTAATACAAAGACATGCATATTATTTTCGTTCAAAGTAGGATATACTTGACAAAAATGATAAATTACTTGCAAGTTGGCAAATTTTGAACATTCATTATAAAGAAATGATATTTTTTTTAGTTTGGTTTATCTTTAATTGTCTCGAGGTGGAGAGAGTCAAGTTATAGTTGAATTATAATATTTGGGCTATTCATACACGATTTTAAATAACAATAATTGCGTCTTAATTATTACTCATAGTTTTGAGCCAACTTTTGATACAATCCAAAGCTAAAATAATAAGTTTGAGACAATTATTAAAAATGATGATATTATCGGATCAATTGTTTTTAAGACAAAAGTCATATAGACCAAATCATAATCAAATCATGTGACATTGATTTATTACACTCTTAAAAAAAAGTTGTACCATAATTATTAGTTATAATTATGACAAATGTTGAATCCAATAATAGTAAAAAAAAAACAATTTTCTCCTCCCAATAAGCATTGTGAAAAAATGCATCATCTTCCTTGAAATGTTGGTCAAAGGTGAAAAGTGGAAGTAATTTTGTAGCAACTTATTTTATATTTGATTTGATGAACTAAATGTCACATAGTGGACAATTACTGTACCAATCGCATGATCCACTATGAAAAGCTTTCGAAAAGTCGGACAAATAAAATGTATCAAAATTAAGGATTGGAAATGAGGTTTAATCAGTGTTGAAGGAAATAGAATTTTAGCTATTAAAAGATGCACAGGTGCAAAATTAATGTATGATGTTTGAGATATGCTCAAGATTGTTCAAAACATGCTATGCTTGAAAATTATTTAAAGCTATCTTTGAAAACAAAAACACTATTTGATTAAAGTTGATAACGGAAAATAATTTTTTACTATAAAAAAATAGAGCTAAAAATTTGTCATTTCATTTAGGATAACAAATTGATTATCCAATTACTATTAAATTATCCGGACATTCGTCTCAACTACTTAGATAATGAGAATCTTGATGAATGTATTAATACTCAAATCCTAGTTGGACAAATGTAAAAAGATTGACTCCTTATTACACTTACTCAATATCTAGGTTTATAAAGTTTTTCCAAATGTTTTTCCAACAAATGTATGAAAGAATCATTTGTATAATTTAACTGAATATTTTCAATAAAAGAATGTGAATAATATGACACTCATTATGCAGAAAAAGGGAGAGAGATTACTGACCTCTTTTACTTCTAGTCAACTAAAAAATATTGATACTAATGCTCATCTTTATCCATAGAATACAATATCCTTGTAGCATTTTGGAACACAGGAGAACCTTTCTTGGTCCTTTCAACAATTTGCCTTATTAATTGCCTTTCCATCTCATAATCACACTCATAATTTTCATCTCTAGTAACACCATTTGATTCATAATTGCTATAACTTAGCCCTTCCAACATTGTTTCCTCACCAGAAGAGAGTTCCCTTGAAACTCTCTCTTCATTAGCCGTGGGAAAAGCAAGCAGATCATTTGCTGCTTCGCATTCAGGAATATGCATGCTTGATGGAGAATTTTCTTCAAAGTCATCTATCTTTATAATTTCTTCATAATAGCTGCCATTGTAAGCACCTGCAGGGTCATCAGATAAATTCATAACTAAGGGTTCAGTCATAGGCTCACATTCATTGCAAGCAAGCACATTTCCTTCACTAAAGGAGGATGCTTTTCTTGGGAAAAATTTCTGGGAATGATTCTTGTGCTCTGATTCCATAAACCACAGTTTTCTCTGACTATTTTCAAGGGCAATTTCAAGCTCCTGTACACGTCCCTCAAGCCTGGATTGGATAACTTCGTGTAAGCGCAGTGTTAGTTCATGAGGTGAAACAGCATAATTTACAGGAACCACAGTGGCACTATCTTCCTTATTTAGTTCTGAATGGAAAAAATCTTTCCCACCAATCACATTAGTTTGCAATTCACCTTGAGCAAAATCTGCTACAAGGACAGGAACATGCTGCAAGAATTTTAGTGACATTAGCACGCTATAAGACAATGAAGCCAAACAACAGAGGTAAACTTTTGAGGACATATGAATAAAACAGGAGTGGGAAGTGAACTACACTGGCAAATTAAGAGAATTCAAAGAAAACAGTCAAACTTTCCTATAGATGATAAGAAAACAGTCCAAGAAGTTTTAGAAGAAAGTGAAAGAGAAATAAAAAAAAGGGGAAATGACAACTTTCATGACTTTGAAAACAAGATATACAAATTGGTCAAGAGAAAATATGGAACATATAATGGGAGAAAGTCAAAAAAACAATTTCCAGATCATTGCCATATATTTATTTGTTTATACCAATGCAAGTTTAGTGTCAGAAATCCAATTTTAAATACAATAAAACCAATCATGTAAAATAGAAACCCGTACTGCAGCTTAAAACTAATGAAGCAGATTTTCAAGTAACAGTAACAAATGCATTCAGCTACCTTAAGTTCTCCATATAGGTGCCTTAACATAGATAACTGTCCCTTGTATATAAATTTGTTTCACATACTATAATGTATACCTAATAGATCTCTGCATAATTTTGCTCCGTAAAAAAATATGCAAGTTAATTGTCATATGATAAACACTTAGTTTGAAACATGTTTGAAGACTGTTATTCTTACTTAAAGTTCCAGTCAAAACATAATATTGTTCTTCCCCTTTTCCTATTCATATGCTTATAAATACATCAGATGTTTACAACAACTTTGAGCAATGGGGGAAAAGGAAAAAGCCTACACAAAGGGCCTGCTGAATTTCTTGGTGCAGAAATCTCACATCAATTATAGATATAGTAAAAGTAGAGCTTATAATAGACAAGCAAACCCCACGTCATAATTTAGACTTTGGATTTGAATTAGAACTTGTCAAAATTCAACATGTTTTCAGAGTCTATCGTCAAACTACCATTGGGTCACCTTCAACTGTTCTGCTCACACAGCTTACCCAATGCAATATTTAGAACCAAATCAATTCTATAACGTTCATCAACAATGTAGAGGTTTTCAAGGCATATGAAATTTTTATCTCACGAATTTGCTTTTAGAGTTGAGTTAGACACAACAGCACAGATTCAAGATTTGTATAATTTTATTACATTACCATTTTAGTTTTCTTGGTTCTTTTAATTTATTGGTGAGAAATATAAAAATGGTACAACCAGGACCATAAAATCCTTCAGGAAAGTGAGATTATATTTGACAATAAGCATTTATAGTATCCATAGTTTAGAGCACAACATGCATCCGAGATAATTTCACATAGGCAACGCTATTTTAAATTATAAAAGATAACACTATGGGATATGCTGTACTATGGTAACTAAACCAAATATAAAATAAATTATTGATAAAGAGTGCCTTAAAACAAACCATAAAGAGGACACAATATCACAAGGTTTGAAAACAGGGAGAAACCGAGTAATATTAATATAATATCCCTTGGAGTGTAATCAGAAAGCACTACTTTCATTCCATTCTTAATTCTTTGTTGTTTTCAACTCTATCAAGCATGGGGCTAGGATTTCCATAGATGAGAGGCTAAATAATGAAGCAGATTTCAACATAAGAAAATGAAATGTGCCTATAGGATCTTTTTACTAATACTAGGAAATGGAGAAGATAAACAATTTTGCTTACCTCTACAAGCTCAGAATGCGGTCTTTCTGGGTTAGATTCATTCATGTTTAATCCCAATCTCTCAAGTTCAGCTTCAAGCTCAGCTTCAATTTTGCTCATAGCTTCTGAACTTTCTTCTTCCTTCTGACCATATGATTCTTTGCAGTCAGTTATTGGAAAATTATCCATGTGCTTTTCAGGTGAAAATCCATTTAGCTCATTATCACAAAAGGAATGATCATAAGTACCCTCTGAACCAGAATTTTCATTATGTAACTCTTTCACTCTCATTGAATCTTTCATTTCAAGTTCCTCTTGTAGATCTTCAACAAAGTTTTCTGTCTGCTTTAACAACTCTCTTAACTTGTCCATTTCTCTTTTATTTGCCAACATGGAGGTTATTATCCCAAAAGAAATCCCAAGGCTGAAGAGAAATGATGCATCTGATGATTATGTACGTGTCAACAATAATAGTTAAAGCAAAACACACCACACAGCAAGCAACAGAGACCATGAAATAACTAGAAACCTACTTCATCAACAGGTGAATAACTAACACACGTGACTTGCTTGAGTTAGCTGTAATAAACATGTTAAGCCCGGATAATAAAACCATTTTTTAATCAGTTTTGGTAAAGCCATTTTAGGTTATGAAGTAACATGCAAAGGAACAGACAGTGACACTGGCCTTCTCGGGAAAAATTGGTATGTGAATAGAAAAACCAAGATTCTATAACATCCTTCGAATATGTTTGTAGGGAGTTTAGACCTATTCAAAACCATTTTGTTTTCAAAAACTCATTATATATGAATCTCATTTGGCGAAACTATTAAAATGTAAACCCGAATGACCTGAGTGTGTAAATGAAACAAGATTCCTTTACAACATGTTGTAAGTGTGTAACTAACCAGAGAATGCAGAAGAATCTAAAAAAGTTATATTAACAAGTGAAATACTCTCGTGACAAAACAAAACAAAAATCCAAATGTCAAGGTATTTGCAACACAACAGAGCCTGTAAAGGTATTTGCAAGTCAAGATTGAAGAACCATACCATGTTGAGTATGAATATGCTTTCCACTTAACGCATTGCTAGTAGGGCTCAATCTCATACTTCGTTCATTGCCTGCATTGATCTTCATCTTCTTGGCATCATTAGAAGATCCAATCTTGGACAAGGAAGGAACTCCGAATAATACACTTTTATCCTTCACCTTATTGCCTTCTCTATACAACCTATATTCTTCACTTCCGGTTATTCCACTGAAAGAATCAACATCATTTGCTCTTCTGATCACTTGGTTTCCATCACCAACAAGAAATGACCTTGTTGCCATGGATGGCAAAAAGACAGATTCTTCCAATTTGACTTGCTCTTCTGAGCCATTAGGCAACTTTCTAAGGAGTTTGAAGGTCTACTAATATGCCCATACAGAAGCTTAGTCCTGTGAGAGATTATATTTCCATGAGGAATATGGCCAAATATTCCTGCAGACAAATCATAGGGTAGGAAACCACAATTGCCAACAACATTGGAGCCTTGCTCATTTCCATAATCATTAAAGTTAGATAGAGAAAGGACATCACTCTCACTGCAATTCCTGAAGAACCTTAAAATATCACTTTAAAGCCATTCGTCAGAAGCCAAAAGACAATCCTCTGAATCCACATCTGAGGCCCTTCTATATAAAGAATCTCTCCCTGCTTGTGTGCAGAAGGGTTGGATTGGGGACACATCATTCTCAAAATAGGAATCCTCTAATGACAAAGGAGATGAACCATCGACATTCTTTGAAAGCTTGTTCAAATATCTAGACAAACACCCAGCTCCAGCAATGGCCGCAACAACCCACGAATCCATTTTACCTCTTCAACACACACACACATGATCACTACTCAAACCGCACAAAACATATAATCCTCATTGTGAATATCATCGAAAACAAACAGGAAAGGAAGAAACTTTCCATAAATTTAGAGAAATTGGGGACACCACTTCCAGGAAAATAAAACAAATATCCCTGATTCACTGCCAAAGACGTTTTTCTCCCAACTCTTGTTATCAATTAAGAAACCTGTTATTCACTGTTCCATAAGTTGGTGGACGGAGAATCCAACAAGAAAAAAATAATGAACATAAAGAATAAGAAAAGGGGAATGAAAATATTCACGGGGTTTTGTGAACTTGGAAAACATCCAATTCCAATGGCAGAGATGAAGAGAAAAAACAACAAAAGAAACCGTTACGAGGAAACAGCAAAGAATGGAAATTTGCGATAACAGTAAGAAATCAGAATTGTTCAGTGCAAAATCTTGGAAGTGATCAAAGCATCTGGCAGTTGGGTTTTGATACTAAAATCTATGAATGCCCATGATTACGACACACGACCAAAGTTTACCAAACTTTAAACCCTCAACTTTGGCAGCTTTGATTTCAAACAAACAATGACATGAGCTACCAATATTTAATAATATTATAATAAGAATTTTTAGTTTGTAAACATCACCTTTCAAAAATTTGAATGGAAATTTGATATAGTATAGTAAAGGGAAAAATATTTTTAGAATATATTATTCTTTGATACTCTTAATGTAACGAACATTTTAACGTTTTTCATTTACAATTAGTCAAAAATAACTGAAAAAAGATATTAATAAAACTTGTTATTCTGTAATTGAATTTTCATTGAAAAATGGAAAGAAGGAAAAAAATAATCTCTTCTAGAGAGAGAGTGTTCACATTTGATGATGGAAAAAATGAAAAAGAATAGATGAATTTAAGGGTAAATTGATTATTGTTTTTTTTTTAAGATTTGGAGGTAAATTTTGAAAATAAAATTTAAAAAGATCAGTGTAAATTTTGATTGATATGATAAAAAAAATAGTTTAAATGATAAAAATTAAAAACTGATAACATTTATTTATCTTTTGTAAAATTAAGTTTAAGAAATTTAAAGTTGGAAGGGGTTATTGATTGTTCCTTAGGAACAATTTCTTAAAACTCAAATTCCCAATTGGCTCAAAAGATATTAGATAAAGGAAAAATTAAATTTGACTCAATATTGTAAAATAACTTTAGTATAAGAGGACTGATTCATATTCAATGGTGGATGAGTGGGTCAAGTGATGTAATTATAGGAGGTGGCTTGTCATTAATTTAATATTGAGTGAAAATAAAAAAAAAAGTCGTAATAATTAAGGAAATCACAGATAATTTTGCGATGGAAAAGTCACCCGATTAAAATCTCAATGGAAGTAAATGCAGTTCAAACAAACAATTAATCAAACAATTAAGCATATTTCATTGTAAAAAAAAGGGTAAATATTTGTATTTGTTTGTATGTTATGAAAATAATCAGGTTTATGAATGTAAACAACATTCACTCATTTCTATTCACATGTTAAAAATAATCATAGTGTACTTTATACCCTCAAAAAAGAAACATTATAGTATACTTATTAGTTTTCTTAATTCAGAAATGCGAATTAAGAAAACATTATTCTCCATATTGCACCATTATTTCTCTCGCAGGAAGAAAACATCTTTATCCATATATTTAAAATTACATCACGACCAATGCAATCTGGAATACACATTCTGAATTTTTTAAATTTGTATTATAAGATTTAACAATATATAATATAATGTAAATTTATATTACGAATTACTTAATTTAAAAAATAATTTATATTTCAAATTTATTTCCAAATTTGTATTATAAGATTGTACAATTAAAAGATAAATTTGCATTATAAATTATGCAATTTGTAAATTTATATTCCAAATTACATACTTATTAATGTAATTTTATATTTTAAGTTATACAATTTAAAATATATAAAATTAATATTTTTGAATTTCAACTTATATAATCCAAAATATTTACGAATCAGAATATCGAAACTATAATTAAAATACGAAATAAAATCTTACACTATCCTTTCTATTAATTTCAGCAACGGTATAGTTGAAATTTTACAAAACATGCGGGTGCAGAAAACCAAAAAGGGGTGCAAGAAGAAATTTCCCTTTTAAAGAGATTTATCAGAGGCCCGATAAGCTCCCTCGTTGGGCTCCTTTCTGGTTATGGCCTCGCGTTGTGCAAAAACTAATAATTCTATAATATGGGTGTGCTCCGCCAACCACCACAGCATTCTCCCCCCACCTACCCGTTACTATTTGGCCCCTCAGTAAAATTGATTGTAGAAACTATTGTTTTTTAATTTATCATTATAAATATTTCACTGATTGATAACCTATGTAGTTCTTGTATGAGTAAAATATTTCTGCAAGCTCATTGATCGTGAAAAACATTATAAGCAATCTCTCTTGCTTTCGGTGCAGTACGTGGTGCAGTGTGTTTGGGTGTAATGTGGATTTTTCGTGGCAGTCTCTCAGTACTTAATCCAATCCTTCCAATAATCCGAAAACCTAAACCCTAAAACCATTCCAATTAATCATTCCAATAAATCTTTCCACTAATCCTTTAACCTAAAACGTAAAATGAACCGAAGCTTAAAAACGGATGACATCCCTTCAACGGATGCAAACATCCGTTAGGCAAAAACGGATGTCAGACATCCGTTTCGACTTAAACGGATGTTGACATAGTTGAAGATTGTCATCCCGCTTGGTTTTAATTTTATGTGTTTGTTATTATTTTATTAGATATTTTATATTTTGATTTATTATTTAATATCGTTTTAATTATCTTTTGAATAGGTATATTTATATTAGTTGATATTAAATATTTAAAATATTAAAATAATAAAATAATTTAAAAGAAAAAAATTTTAAACTTAAAGGATATAATTGGAATTAAAGCTAATTGAGGAGTGAGGGAGAAGGCTGGGAGGTGGAGGGAGCAAACCACCCCTTATAAATATATATATAGGGAAGAATAGTTTTTAACTCGAATTAATAATTTTTTTTTTAAAATTAGTTACATTCAATTAAATGAATTATCATAAAAATATATAATAAATTATTTTAATTCGATTACTTTAAATTTCAAATATTTTTTTTTTGTTTTATTTTAACCTTTAGACTTAATTACTATTTTGTTTCTCACTTTATTAGAATGTTTCAAGTTGCTCATAGTTTCTTAAAAACATTTCAATTGCATCATAATTTTTAAAAAAGTGTTTCAATTATGTCACCTACTAACGGCATCAAAGACATACATATGTCAATACGTGTTTTTTTTAATTATTTTTTTATTTAAGTATTTTTAATTTTAATTTTTGAAAAAAAAATTATTTCCACATATAAGTTCTTAGTTATTTATATATTATAGATATATCTATATTATATATATATATATAGATTTATATGGGATTCAATTCATTCAGTCTCAATTTTTTTAAAAATCAATCAATATTATTTATCTTCAAATTGAAATAAAATTTATTATTTATATAAGTGTTTTATACTCAATATTTTTACTAAAATTTAGCTTTTTAACATACTACATAACTATACATTATTAACTCATGTTTTGTTAATAAATAATTTAACAATTAAATTTTAATATAAATATTATTATCACATTTATATAAATAATAAATTTATTGTCACCTAAAAAACCAAATTTATTATTGGTATAAATAGTATTAATTAATTTACTTTAAAAGAAATTGAATACTATTTAAAAATACTTACTTTTTAAAAAAATATATTTATATTTAATTAGTTTTAATCTTATAAAAAAACATGGATTAACATAACATAGATTAATAATATAAAATAAATATTCTAAATAATTATTTTTAATAAATATATTAATTTAACATTTATACAGAAAAATATATTATTTTATTTTCAGAAAAAATAGGACTAAATTGAATTAAGAAGATATGTAATAAAATTAAAATAATGAGAACGGCACTAATAAAATAAAATAATAAAAAAAATGCAGATTGACGTGTGCTGTGGCATGTCATTTAACGTCATAAGTAATTTTATTTTTGTAAAGTAACATGATTAAATACAACTTTACAATTAGGACGTACTTGGATTTTTTTTAAACATTAAAACACGATGAAATTTTTTTCAAACAAACGAATATCAAACTCGAAACGTTTCAACCAAATGGAGGATAAAAAAAAGTAATTAAACTTAATTTCTAATAGTTTTTCATATAGTATTCTATTACTATTATTTTAGTAAAATATATTTATTTAAAAAAATTAGAAGCTAATTTATAATTATAGTTGAAATCTGGGTAGCTAAAGTTGAGATGCGATTAGTTTAGATCTAATCACAATTTAATTAATTTTTTATTAATAATAAAAAATATTTTAGATACCAATACTTTTAATTTATAAAATGATATATAATTTAATCATGACTAATTGTTTTTTATTTATATTGCTGGTTAATAATTTTCTTGTAATGAAAATAGATACAAAGTCATCAAATACAAAATAAAAATATTGGTTATTTATAAAATGGCTGATTTTTAAATTAAAAACAACTACTTATTATAAAAAGCTACAAATACATATTTAATATTTAAATTTAACTTCAAAATTTAGATTTTAAATAATAATAATTGATACTCAATTTATACATTTAATTAGAAAATTATTATACATATTTAATTTAAAAGTTATATATACAGGTTATATCGCAGACATTAGTTTTAAATTAAATAATTAAAAATAATTATATAATTTTTACTTACATGTATTTAAATATTAAAGTTACAACAGTATAAGAGGAGATAGATGAGAGAGAGAGAGATTAGATAGAGATTATATATAGTAGCGAGTATATAGATATATTATACACTACTTTAATTAGTATGCGCATTTATTACTTCAAACCCATCACTAATTTCTTCACCTTTGAGAGACACGTAAAGTAAAACGACGGAAAATAAATGTGATGATTTTAAAATGACATTTTTGTGTTTTATAATTATTGTAAGTCAATATATGGACAAGATTTATTGGAGAGATAAATACAAATCAATAAAATTTGAATCAAAAATTACAGGAAACAGTAATCGATTAGCCAAAATCTTAAAAACATTAATGTAATAATAATTTTTTATATTATGTTCTGTTTTTACTTTTAGTAAATTTAAAAAACCTGCTTAAACGCACCCTGAAAATTATAACATGATAACAAATATAAATAAAATGCGCACATGAAAAAGTAAAATAAAAAGTAAAATAAAGGTATATTACATATTAAATATATTTATTGATTGTTTGGAATAGTATAAAAAACAAACCCACTCTGAAACATAGATATTCGTGAGTCCTTCTTTGATAAAACTAACAATTATTTCATTGTCCACTAATCATTATTTAAATTTAAATTTTGTCTTCTCTTTTCTTAAAAAATCTCACTTCCAAGCATACCTAAAATTTACAATAATTAATAAAATATTTAAAAGGTAATTTAATAT